GTTTTCCCTCTTAAGTTTTTGAAATCTCTAGAATTTTAGACACCACTAGTGGATTTAGGTGGACACATGATGTGGATGGCTAAAAATTCCAGCACTGTTTCCCTTAGGTGCATAGCTGGGGAGCCAATGTAGAGAACAAGGATTGACTAGTTTTAAGATGAGCAGAACACCTTAGGGCTTTCTCATGATGTAACAGCAAATTGGAAATCATTTTTGGAGAAAAATTAAGCAGTGATACCCTCAACCAGCTCTGTGACTGCTAAAGTAACTAGTGAAAAATTATCTGATACTTTGTTAATTACCTTCACTCTTTCCCAGTAAGATAGAATCATTAATTAGGTGGAAGTATTTTCCTGAATTGCTCTTGGTCTTGGCTCTTTCTTGGACTTGTTAAAGACCACCTTGCTTGCCTTACAGAAAATTTCTTATAATCCCTTAGAGAATTACAGTAATCCTCCTGCCCCCAGCCCGCCCCCCCAAAAAAACCTCCAGAAAAACAAGAAAGAAAAAAAAAGAAGAAAAATAAAATTTCCTTATTATCAAAAAATAAGCAAGATTTTGTAATAAAAGATGTCTTTGATGTTACACGAATGCATTTAAAATTATGGGAAGAAGTCTTTCCAAGCTCAAAATTATCTGGTTTCTATGTAATTATGCTCTTAGTAAGGTTGATTTGAACATCCTAAACAGTGGTATTAGAGGAAGCGTCTCTAAGAATTATTCTTAATTGCATAGCGACCATTATTCATTGACACTTGATTTATCAGAAACCTATTACATTTAAGGCTTTTGATTGGTTCTGGGAGAGAATACAAATATAAATAAGACACAGTTTCTGCTTTAATCTGGAAATATTTTTAGCTTAACTGATGCAGCAAATGAATCTCATTTTTTCCTTTTGAAGGGTTTTAAAATCACTACTTGAGATGATATTAGAAACATATTGAAACACATAGTTATTCAGCACCTAGTATGTGCAAAGCACTGTGCTAGTTTGGGTCTTCATAAAGGATTGAGATTTCACCTTTGCTGTAGACAGACAGACTCAAGCAGACTGAAATGAGAATAAAGTAAAGGCATAAAATGGTACTGCAGGAATGTAGCTTAGAAGCTACTCATGAACACAACAGGAATTATAGGTATTTCATATTATTGACTAGATATAAAATTCCACATTTACTTGAATAATTGTTTATTATTTTATGACATAATATAATATTGTAAAGCTAGAACACATTTAGGAGTTTAATACAAGAGAGTTAGCATTCTGATTTTGGCATACAGTATTTAGCCTCTGTGAGCTCAGTTTCCAGATACAAAGAATTCTTATGATAATAGCACTGTAAAGCATATTGTGAGGATTTAAAAAATTAATATATGAGAAGAGATTCATATAATAGATCTTTAATGAATAATAATTGTTATCTCTATGCTTATTGCACTTTGGGGGAAAAAATCCTATTCCTTATCCTCTGTGAGCAGTTGCCCATAGAGGTGCTCCTTGATCTGTTCACTCTTTATCTCCATTGCCACCTCCCTGTCCAGGCCACCATCATCTATCAACTTGCCTAGAGTAGGAGCTGTTCTGCTCTTGCCGCTCTATAATTATTGACCATTCAACTGCCAGCATGATTTTGTAAAAAATATAATTCAGTCATGATCTCTCGGTGATTATGGGATAGAAATGAAACTTCTTATAATAGCCTACAAGAAAAGTGAGAGCTAAGCTGATATCAGAGGAAGAAACCCAGGGAGAAAACATGGAGAGGGGGAGAGATTAACCTCTGTATTCCTTTCCTAGGGCTACCATGACACAATACCACAGACTAAGTGGCTTAAACAATGGAAAGTTTACTTTTTCACAGTTCTGGAGGCAGTAAGGTTGTTTGCTTCTAAACCCTCTTTCCTTGCCTTAGAAGTGGCATCTGTTTCCTATGTCTTTACATGTCTTCCAGACACCAGCCAGATTGGATTAGGGCCCAGCCTGGTGACCTAATTTTAATGTAATTATCTCTTTAAAGTCCTTATCTCCAAATATGGTCACATTTCAAGGAACTGAGAGTTAGGACTTCAACATGTGAATATGAGAGTAACATAATTTAGCTTGTAACAACCCCATCTTTCACTGACATTTCTGCAAGTTCTCTTCATGTAATTTTAACAACATTCACTATGACATTCGTATGAGCTCAGGAGTAGCTGATCTGCTGCACCTGGGCTTTTATTCTCTCTTTGTAGCTTTCATGTCTTGTCATTCTTTTCCTTCTTTGCTTTGCTTCAGCCTCACTGGCCTCTTTTCTTGTCCTTGAATACACCAAGACCTCTCCCACCTCTTAGCTTTGTTTCTTGTCTGTCTTTCCACCTGGATCCAGTTCTCTCAGTTCTTCCAATGGCTCATGCTTATCCTATAAGTCTTGGGTTAAAACTCACTGCTTTGAAGAAGCAGCACTGTAGGCAAATCTATAGTCGTCTTCCCAGGCTCTCTCTCACCAGCCTGTTATCCACTCTCCCCTTAGAAATAATAGTATTTTGCTACTTGTTTCTTTACTATTTATACATGACTCCTCCCTGGTAGTGTGTTAAGTGTTTAGGGCTGGGAACTCATCAGTCTTGTTTATCATTAGAGTGTCCGGGCCTGACATAGCTAGGCCTGTTTTTTGAATCAGTGTCCAAATGAATTTCCTTTATTAATCATATGCTTTTTGGATCTCACTCAGTCTCAAAGATACATGCAGTCATATAAAGCAAATACTGCATAATGTCACAAACAAACACTAAGTTTATAATTCTGAACACAAAATATTTTTCAAGAACTACTGAAAAAGTAGCATGTTACATAAGAATTTGGAGATACCCATTAGTATCGTGGAATGATTATAACCACAAGAATTTGCATATGCACACCTTACAACAAATTAATAACAAAAATATTGACCTAGTTTTCATTCTCCTAGACTTCCCTCACTCTTTTGGAAATATCTATAATATTAATGTGTTATAGGATACAGTATTATAAACATCATTCTAGAAAACAGAACAGTATCTGTAAACTAGAGTTAAACTGAACAACCTTACCTAGGAACTTAGAGATGCAGATTGTCAGGCCCCACCTTACACCTACTAAAACTGATCTTTTATGTAGTTTTTGGTTTCTCAGAAATCTTGTCAAATAGTCCATTTTCAGGACATAATCAATCTTAATTGTTTGAAACCTCTTGCCCTTTACCCTGCCCTGCAATGACATGGTCTTTCTGCTGTTCAACACTTTTGCAGTTGTTTTTAAGGAATTAGAGTGATCTCTCCAACTTTTGAAACTGTTTAAGTGAAATTACTATATCCTAGCATTCAACGTACATTACTTGCTTCCTGAATTACCTATTTGGCTTTAATGAGCTTATTACTACCATTTTTATTGTTGTGTACAATTTCTAATTCAAATACAAATTTAATTAACTTCTCTGCTGTCCAAAGATGTAATTTTTAACAAGTAAAACTCACGAAAAATCAGCATGATCTACACTTTTTCTCTCACTATATTTACAAAGGCTTTTTTCCCTTAGGATACTTATTCAATAAAGAATTTTGTCAGTCTCCTTCAATTTATCTTTTTTTGTGTATGTGGCCCATCTTCATCCTTTACAGTGAGAAACATTTTGATTCATTTTTATGAGGCTAACTTTAGACCTAGGACATTAATGATACCAATTGTTCTTTGCCTTATTTTGGCATAGATCCAATTTCCCAACCTGTATCCAAGGGAAATATTCCATCTTGAGAGCAGATGTTATTATTTCCACTTATGGAGTATCTAGCTTCTGGCCATGCAATGTTAAAAATCATCATTTAAGAAAATGATGTTCAAGAGGGCAACAATTTCTATATATTAATAATAAAATGATATATTATCCATAATAGTAACTATCATTATTGAACACATTATATTCTAGCAACTGGGAAAAGTAATTTACATATGTTATCTCAATTAAAACTTCTAATGGTCATTAAAATCCTTATCTATGAAGATATCTTACCTATAGAGGTAAAATCTTTACCTGTGAAGAGGTCCAAGGTCATATAATTCAAAGGTGTTAGAGCCCAATTTGAACTCCAAAATTTCTGATTTTAAGCATTATGCTTCAAATCCGATTGTGGCCCTGTTTCCTCAGCTAAAATCTGTCAGTGATGTTGCCCTCCTGGCACGGCCTTGCCTTTCTGCCCAGACACTGTTCATGAACCAGTTTTACTAAGGCATAGGAAAGAATTTGAGTAATAGCCATTATCAGGAGCAAGAAGAAACTAATATGGAAAGAGTATTTTCACGAGAGAGTCACTGTTACCAGCATCTCATTTGAGCACTTTCATTGGGTCTCTTTTAAGTCTTGCCTGATCCATGTGGTGCCAGCTATTGAGGAGTTAAGTAACTTGCTTAAGATCACATGGAGAATAGGAAGCAGTGCAGGGATACATGTGACTTATAGGAGATCTAGTCTTTGATCCCAATCACCAGCGAATGGTGTGCTTATTGTTAAAGGTGACTTGAATCATTTTAAAAGTTATTTACCAGTATCCTAAACTTTCCAAAGATGCATTCTTTGCAGCCACTACAATTTTTCTCCTCTTCATTCTTGTGGCCATGTTTCCTCTTTTTAGTAGCTCACTTCTTTCTAGGGGCCAATCAGATGATGCATTATAAAAAAAAAAAAAACACAAAGGCTAAAAGCATTTGTGTCTTTGCACTGCCTGTTGTAATAGTGCCCAGGGGTGATGTGTCTTTGAAGAAGCAAGGTCTTGGTAAGTAATTGGGGTTTCTTTTTTTCCCATTAAGTAAACACTGTTTTCTGATTTGGTTTACTTTAGTAGAGATTCATTATCTCACAGGAAATTTTAGATGCTTATAAAAATATATCATACCTGTATTTACTCTTTAATTATCTAACCCTGCTAAGCTGTTAAATTGGTAATTATTTTTTTTTCACACATATTTACTTTATACCTACTAGGTCCTGTTACGGAAGTGAAAACTGACATATATGTCACCAGCTTTGGACCTGTATCTGATGTTGAAATGGTAGGTATTTGGGAAGCAGTGTACCTTTTGGGGTTTGGAGAAACATGCCAGAAAAGAGACAATTAAAATTTATTTTATTGTCAGTCACACAAAGTTAGAAATTCAAAGAATAACCAAATTAAACTTAAAAGTTTACAAAGAGTAAGACACTGAATTTGCATTTCAGCTCCAACTTTTGAGTGTTGATTGATTTAAAGTCATTCTCAACAAGAGAACTTTCCTATTACTAGTTGCAAAGTACAACTTTGTATATAGTTTTTTTTCCTCTTTAGAAAACTATTGAGGAAGAGAAAATTAGAGGTTATAATTAGTTTGGGTGTGAGCTAATTGCATACACTATATTGTAGTCCTGATTGCACTTGGTATTTTATGTGCAGTTCCTTGCTGCCCACTCTTCCCTTCTCTTTCTCCCTTAATCTCATGCCTAAAGAGGCTAGAATATGAGCATTGGTCAGGAGGAATTTGTTCATCCAACTGTGCTATTTTATATTAAATATATTTACTTAACAAGACAGGAACCTCCTTCATTTTTTTCCTGACCCTGTGCTTGGAATGATTTGAAATGGTTGGGTTATTTGACAAATTGTGATAAACTTTATGAAAACACAATTTATCCATTTTGCTTTGTCTTAAAAATGCCTACCATCTTATGATTAATCATATAATGATATTTGTTATCCATTAATTGATTTTTGCTATCTGGTCTAAAGTGAAGCCCAAGTCTAATTACCTGGAGCTGGCATTTTTATTGAAAGACGGTCATTATTATGAAATGATTAATACGTGTGGTAACTTATTTTCTATGAGCATAGAAGACGAAGGGAGCCAGATGGACATCAGATACTGTAATTACTGAGAATCTTTTTACTCTATTGATTTAAGATAATTTCTACTTCTATTAATTTCATTTGGGAAAGTCTTTTCTATGAGTGGGAAGAGGCTAGAACTTAATGCATTTTTCTGTATGTACATGTGTAGCTCTCTGTGATCTGAAGATGTCACAAACTCATTTCCCCAGGAATACACAATGGATGTGTTCTTCAGGCAGACGTGGATTGACAAAAGGCTAAAGTATGATGGCCCCATTGAAATTCTGAGGTTGAACAATATGATGGTAACAAAAGTATGGACCCCTGATACTTTCTTCAGGAATGGAAAGAAATCTGTCGCACATAATATGACAGCTCCAAATAAGCTTTTTAGAATTATGAGAAATGGCACTATTTTATATACAATGAGGTAATCAATTTTTTCTTTTTCCTTCCGTTTAGCCTTTATTTTCTCCCTACTTTTCTTCCTTTTTTCCCCTCTTTCTTTCATTTTAGAGATATATAGAATTAATTTTAATAAAGGGTTGATTTTATTTAATTGCATTTTTCTATCATAGACTCACCATAAGTGCGGAGTGCCCCATGAGATTGGTGGATTTTCCCATGGATGGTCATGCTTGCCCTCTAAAATTCGGGAGTTGTAAGTTACAAATGAAAGTGTTTGAATTTCTGATTATCTCACACAAGTTGATAAATGTTTGTGTGTGTGTGTGTGCTTATGTATGCCTGTGATCTTCTCATAATATAGCATTTAAATCATTATCCATGAAAAAAAATTTATGCAAGCTTTGATTTTTAGTAGTCTGTTAGCTGGTATTTTATGTAAAGAATTAAAACTTCTCTTTTCTTTCCCCAGGTCAAAAACCTACTTGTACAGATAACTTGAATAGATTAATTGATTGAGTCATAATTAATAGGTTGGTGGTCAGTGTTAGGGACCTCTGAACTTTACATGTTGGTGGTATAACATAGAAAGTACAAATGATTTTCTTTATAATTTAATAGTTGCTGTTATTGGCAGAGTTGTTAGGTTGTTTATAGCAGACTTAGTAAAAGCCCAAAGAAGACTCATGACTTCCTGGCATGACATCAGTTAAAACAAAAGCAGCCCTATCAATGGCTGAAGTAGGACACAAGAATCATAGGAGATGCAAGGGCAGGGCTGGGGTGGAGTTGGTGGGGTGGGTGGAGATGGTGGGGTGGGTAGAGATGGTGGGGTGGGTGGTCCAGAGATTATAGTGCCTTCTAGACCACATTAAGGAGTTTGAATTCTATTTGAAAGCTTGGAGCCAGGAGTTTTGAAAGATTTATAAAGGGGTAAATCTTTGATTGACATTTCATAATTTCTTACTTTAGTTCTCCTACCGAGAATGGGTTATAGAGATGCTGGAATGGAAGCAGGAGAGTTGGAGTATGTTGTTTTAATACAGGCAAAAATGATGATGGATTAGGCTAGGATGGTATTAGAGGAGTGACTGTGAAATAGATGTGTCTGGGAAATTTTGTGGAGATGAAGGCAAAAGGATGAGATGAATGGATAGGAAGGAATATAAGATTCCTTTCTTTGAGCTCCCTTCTCTGAGATGGTAACAAAATGTGATTGCTCTTCTAAGGTCTGCCTCAAACATTTGATTCAATCAGAATCTACCAAAAATAGATGCTGGCTTTTACTATTGCTTCAGACTCTTAGTTGCACTGATTGTGAAACTTGCCTGCTGTTATCATTGCTCATTGCTTAACTTAATGAGAATCGGCAGTCACCATTCTTTTTATAACCCTAGTAATCACAATATTCAGTGGGCTAACTTGAAGCTAAAGAAAGTCATTTGCTCACTGACCAATGATTTAATGAGAGAAGATAAAAACAGAAAAATACACATAAAGGGTGATCTCACTATAGTTGGAATTAAGATCCCTTTGTCGTATAATAATTTAAATTTTATACAAGCTATTTTTTATTAGAAGAAGTATTTTCCATCTGCCACCCCCTCTAGTTCTCGTATAAAGCACTTTTCCGAGTGACCTGAACGTAGTTGGTGATCAATCATGCTTTGTATAAAACTAAAGAAATCATACACTAGTGGTTGATGTTTGGGGGCAGGGAATTAAAAAAAAAAAAAGAGGCACATCATACTTAGCAAGTTAAGGCCTTACATTTTCTGGAAAGAGAAAAAGAGCACTTAACTATGTTTATAATTCAGAGGAAAGAGAGAAACCAGGAAGGAAAAGGCTCTTCTAGTAAGATAGGATAGCTAAGAGAATAACTGATTTAAAACATCATCTGTAGAACATCACGTACAGGGCTTTAAATATCTGACAAAGCATGAGTATTTAGTAGATAAATGCTGACATATTACTGGATAATGCTAAATGATACCGCAGCCTCGGAGTTTGTTTTGCAAAATGGCTTTTAAGGAGAATCTGTCTAGGTATGGACTCCCTTTGTAGAATTACACAATTCCCCAAGACCTCCTGTGTTCTAGCCATTTTAGGAAGGTTTGGGGTGGTGGTGGTGGGGAATGGCACATGATTCATTTTGGTTCTTTTGAACTTATTTGTGTGTGAGCCAAGCTATCTGTTCTGGGTAGACTGGTAAGCAAGCAGCTGGTCTCCATTTGCACTGAGCACCGAATAATAGAAAATGGGCTTAAATTGCTGCTGGGAAGAATTTGTTGAAGATAGAAGGGGAAATGTCCTGATTATAAGAGTTTAAAGGTAGTGGAACTGGTTGTATAATTATATTCCCCAGAGAGCTTTACAAACAGCATAGCCAGTTGTCACTGTAGAATGGTTTCCAAAGAGCATGGTATTACCCAGAGGCAGAGTCTAGAAGAGATGACCCCTGGTGAGCTCCTGACCAGTAGAATTTGCTTTTGTTTTGTTGTTGTGTTATTAGAGGCAGCTTCTGATACATTTGAAAATGGCAGAGGTGCATTAGAATGGAAGAAGTCAGTGTTGATCAAGCACTGGAAGAGAGAAGTGCAAGATGCAGGGGTTTGGCAGTACCCTATTGGGAGTTTAATAATCTGCTCTTTAGCTGCTTATCTTATTAGCTTGGGAACACAACCAAATGTTTTAATGCATATGGCCTTGTAGAAGCCTCAGTTTTTATCTCTTCCTCCTCTAGTTGTTTGGCACAAAAACAGTGAATCCTGCTGATTTGTAATGCTTTTTGTTTAATATCTATAGATTTCTAAATTGCAAAATGAGTTGAGAGAACATTGTTTTCATTTACCCCATCTTTCTTGAACACATATCATGTTTTTAAGTGTTGACCACCAATGCCCATAAAAGGAGAACCCTGACAGTAACCACATTCTCTGCTCTCATTCAGATGCATATCCGAAGAGTGAGATGATTTACACATGGACAAAAGGTCCAGAGAAATCAGTGGAAGTGCCAAAGGAGTCTTCCAGCTTAGTTCAGTATGATCTGATTGGGCAAACTGTATCAAGTGAGACTATCAAATCCATTACAGGTGAGAAGTTTAATGGTTAAAGCCAATATGCTATGTAACATCAGCAGTAGAGTTTTGTCCTGGCTTCATTGAAACATCTAGTGTTTTCACGAGAACAACAAAAATTTTCCAGAAATAGAGTTGATGTATAAACCATAGCTCAGAATTTCTTTATTTATATTTATCATCTTATTTCAGTTTAAAATAAATTCTGAGTTGGTGAAATGTGAGAAGTGAGTTGGTTTTCTTATTCAGAAACAGAAGTCAGTAATCAAGTATATTAAAACTATTTTCAACAAAATCATGAGGCAATAAGTCAGTCTGATCCTTCTGGTTTTGGTGCTTTCCAAAAATCTCTCTTTTTTTTTTTTTTAATGTTGCCCAAGTTTATTATGTCACCTTCCCCCCTTTTCCCCAAAGGAAAAGCAAAATCTAAATCTTAATTTCAAAACATTAAAAGAAACTAAAATTGTCCTACAAATGGATGGATGTCTGTTATTGATGATTCTTTGTCTTTGGAAAATGAATGGAAACATTGCAGGATTTAGTTCTTATCATATTTAATGGGGAAGATCTAATTATTGCTTCTTCTAGAACTCTTTCTTATATACACATATAAAGGGGAAAATGTTTTATCATTTTTGTCTAGTACATTTTTGTGCTGCTATAATAAAATGTCATGAACTTGGAAGCCATAAAGAGCAGAAATTTGTTTCTCACAATTCTGGAGGGTGAGAAGTGTGTGATTAAAGTGCCATCAGATTCACTGTCAGGTGAGAGCTTGTTTCCTGGTTCATAGAATAGAAGAGAGCAGGGGCTCACACCAGGAACTTCTTTTATAAGGGTAATAACCCCTTGCATGAGGCCCCACCTTCCTGATCCCAAAGCACTACATTGTGATTATTTGGGGATTAAATATTCAGGCCATAGCAATAGTTAAAATTCATTCAGCAGATACCTTCTTATAGGCTTCATCATGAATTCTTTCCATGTATTGACTCACTTAGTTCTCATAGCCACCCCATGAAATGAATACTATCACCAACTTCATTTTACTGATGAGGAATATGTAAATACAATGTATTTAAGTAACTTGCTTGAGTCATACAGCTATTAAATGGCAAAACCAAAATTCAAACACAGGCATTCTGAGTTCCAAAAACCTTCTCAAAATGTTCTGAATGCCAGATCGGGATGTTAAAATTGCATTAGTAGGGGCAGGAGTTGTGACCCAGTGGTAGAATGCTTGCTCGGCATGTGTGAGGCCCTGAGTTCGATCCTCAGCACTGCATATAAATAAATAAAATAAATAAAAGATCCGCTGACAAGTGAAAAATATTTTTAAAATTTTTGAATTAGTAGAAAATGAGTGGTTATTGTTAGATCTGGGACAAGATTGTGAAATGATAATATATGTTTTGTTTTAAGAAAAAAAAGATAATAAATCAGTCATGTGAAGGCATGATGACTCTAGAATAGTTAAAAATCATACAGGCAGGGAATGAAATGGTGGTTGCCAGGGCTTAGAGGGGAAAGACAAAATTCCCATGACTTTATCTTCCCAGCCCTTGTCATGACTATCATTTCAGGGGATACTCTCTTCTCATCAATTATGAAACTATACAGTAGCCTTCTATCATGGCACTTTGCCCCTTGTCTTTCCAGGAGAAAAACTCTTTTGATAGATATTTATGTTCTAATCTGAATGTCAAAGAGGTAAACTTTCATTTGTACAAGATAATAAATCCTAGAGATTGCCTGTACAGCCTAGTACCTTTGATCAATAATACTGTAGTGAATGCTTAAGAATTTGCAAAGAGAATAGATAAAAGAGTTCTTTTCACACACACACAAAAAAAATATTGAATGAGATGATGGGAAGAAACTTTTGGAGATAGTGGATAGCTTTATGAAAGATTGTGGTGATGGTTTTATGAATGAATACTTATCTCCAAACTAATCAATCACATACATTAAACATATAGAGAGTTTTGCATTCCAATCATACCTCAATAAGGTGGTTTAAAAACTATGCAGTCAATATGATATGTCAAGAGCTTTGTAATGTTGTGAACAACCAATAAAAAAAAAAGCAAAAAAAAAACAAAACAAAAAAAAGAACTATGCAGTCAGGGCACTTTCCACTTATCCTTATAGGAAACAAAATTTTTTTGGAAAGATCTTCATGTTCTAATCTGCAAGGGGGGGTTAAAACACATCTGGAGATGTGAGATTTCTGAACCTTGGGCTTCACAGTCTGTGAATAAGGCTACTGCTTCCTAAATAACTTTCTTAATATGTCCTTTCAGGCGTGATGGTAAAAATATTCCTCAACAGCTACCAGAAATGTTAGGGTATGTTTCACTTACTAGTTTTTTAGGTTATGCCTCTATGCTATACATGTCTGTTTACATTTTTGTTTATAACATTTAGATATACAGGTCTTTCCTAAAATTAAGGCAGCCTTTCCCTTAGCTTGTATGTGTATATGTGTACGGTACATATAAATGGAATATGTATATATATATTTATATATTTTATATATGAATGAAATCTATATATTTCATTTCTGTCCAAAATTAAGCTGTATATTTTCGTGTGTGTGTGTGTGTGTTTCCATTTTTTCCCTAGTGATTTTTGTAAAAATTAGTTCTAAATTCTGCTCTCAAAAAATGGTGAAAATGAAAGCTAATTGCTTTAGCAGTAATAGGTCTTCAAAATAGAAAGCATTGCAAAAACTTTTAAAAATGATATCCCAATTTAGTAAATTACTTAGTTGCTACACAAAATAAAGTATTTTTCTGAATAATGGTTTTCTATATCATCCACCCTCCTGCCATGAGGAAACTTTGTACTTCTTGTTTGTATTATGCACAAAAGATAATTTCTTTGCTCAGAGTACTGTGTGTTAGTCTGAAATACAATCATGAAGCCATTCAGTAATTAACTGCAGAACCAATAATGCATTTTTTTCATGTTTTCTTGGCAGGTGAATACATTGTCATGACAGTTTATTTCCACCTAAGACGGAAGATGGGATATTTTATGATTCAGACTTATATTCCATGCATTATGACAGTGATTCTTTCTCAAGTTTCTTTCTGGATAAATAAGGAATCAGTTCCAGCGAGGACTGTATTTGGTAAGTGCAATTCATTTCTTGGATGTTTTTTGTCCACATTACATAATGATCACGATTCATAAGAAATATGAATAATAGTCTAAGAAAATGATAAACACAAATATATCAAACTTTACTGAATACAGAATCACATAAGCTTTTATTTTTATCTAGCCAATACAAAATAATAATGCTTGAGGAGATATGAGTAGTCTTTCACTTCCTCTGGGGCCACAATGGATTTCCCTTGTTGAGAATCAGTCAAATGAAGACCAACTGTGCACTGCATATAATTTCACTTTTGGTGATATTCTTGAGTTCCTAGCATAATGCTGTGTAATTGAATTAAAATTATATCTAGGTGTTAAAATGAAATGCACTAAGAGCTTAAAATAAAACAAATAAAAGTCATGGCTGAATGAATATGAAAGCCTTAGAATAACTTGTCTTTTAATGAAGAGGAACAAAATGCAATTGGTTTACACTCATTGAATTGGAAGGTATTATGTGCTTAGTTTATAAGCTCATTATTATACTCTATCTACATAACATTTTTTCTGAATCAACATTTTTTTCTTTTTCTTTTAATTGTGGTTTCCTACATATAGGATTCTTAACAATATGAAGTCCAGAACATGTGAGCTTAAACGATTTTGTACTTGTTAATACATCTTTTACAGATCAGTCATGCTTTTACATCATAAAATGATTTACTGTTTAATTTATATTTTTCTGTATTCTTTCTGTATTTATTGTGAGTAGCAAAAGCATTTAGTGGTGGGATAAGAAGGAAAAAGATCAGAATGTCTCTGGAGTGAATATAGTCCTCACAAGAGATGAAGGTTTCCCTTTGCTTTTCTGTTTAGAAGCATCAAAGCCATGTGCAATATTCCTTCGCATTCAATAGCTGAAGAGATGTTGATAAGAGAGAACTGGAGGAAAGAATTGGAGCCTTTCATCCTACCTCTGCTGATAATGGTGTTTTAATGTCCTCAGTGGACCTGAAATACTCCAATAGAGGTGTTTCCTCCCTAGACAACCTCCTTCCTTTAATCTTAGGCTCACCTAAGAGGGTATTTGAGAAACTCATACTAATGTGGAGGCAGGGTGTGATCTCAGCAATACAGTGAGCAGGTATAATGGCACTATCTACTTCATAGAGTTATGGGTGTTCAATTAACAAATAATTGCACATTCTAAGTGTGGAATAAATTTTAGCTACTAAATATAGGTATGAAAATGAAAGAGATAAAACAACATATCTAAGCATTGGATGCTAAGAGGTCATGGTTTAAATCTGCTACTTACTTTTTCCATCCAGAAAATTGTGTTAATATATCTCTCCCTCATAGACTAGAGGGAATTTAAAGAGTTATGAATAGTACTCAGTGTAGGACACGTGGAACACATTCTGTGTGTTACTTTCTCTTTCCTATACCTCTCTTTCATAGGGGAGATTAAATTTTTTTCAGAATTGGTTTGTACTGGTGTTTTAAAGAAAAAATTTACATTTCTAGTGGGTACTACCAGGCATCCTGAAATTCTTAGGTCTTCATACAGTAAGTTCAGAGGCAACCTGACTGTGTAGGAACTGTCTACAAAGGCTGAGCATCAGATCCAAGTCCCTTAACTAATCCTACTACAAAAAAATTAATAATTCAGGAGCTATAGTTATTAAAAAAATTTTAAATTTGTTTCTATTAGGCTTTACAAATAAAGAAAGCAGTTGTATTCATATTATCATACTATTTTCTGTGGCCTTAAAGAACTAGAAAGAACTAGAGCAAAAATTACCATTTGTGATGAAGAGGTAATAGTGTCATAAGTGTAGACTTTGGTTCTACCCACAGGGTCTACTACTTACCAGCTATGAACTTTCAGTGAGCTACTTTTATATAACTCATGTTTCCTCATATGTTAAAAATGGACAAATGGCTGTACTTATCTCATAAGGATTCTGTGAGGATTAAATGAGTATTAAGTTTGAATAAGGCAGTTGAAATAATACTTCTCACACAATTTATACAGTTTAAGTTGTTTATACAGTTTAAGTTGTTTATACAGTTTAAGTTGTTTATTAGAGTAATGTTCCACATTGCATCTCTGTCTTATCCAAGAATCACTGTTTGATTGGTTGATGAACTTTGTTTTCTTTATTGACTATAAACTGGCAGCTATTTTTCTGTCTCCATTGTCCCCAAATATTAGAAATCCCCAGTGATGGAGGGAGGAATAGCATTGTTTACAGTAATACTCACTCAGTGCTTTCTATTTGAATACAATATTGCAAGGAAATGATGTAGTATGTTGTGAAGGAATTAATATTACTATTACCAGTGATGAAAGGACTTGCCATATATGTTGAGATCATCTATGTTAACCTTCACAATAATTCTGCAAGATGGGCACTACTAATTTTTATAGATAAGGAAAATAGCTGTAACATATTAGGAAGCTTATATCAAGTTTCATAATTGTACGTGGTGGACACAAGATATTATCTAACTTTAAGAACTCAGTCACTCTCTATTCACAGTGATTAGGACTTTTCTTTTGAAATTTGTCCCTGTCTGTGTCCTGTGCCAGGATACTGCTTTTGACTGATCAAGAAAATTATGCCAATAATTATATGTTCGAAGACCTAAGATGCATTCGGATGGTAATTATTAGACTACTCAGTGAGGATTTAGAATGGTATTTTCTTAGGGAAGTAAAGCTGTAAGTATTGGGGGATATTACCAATCTATTTCATATGAGATTTAGGTGAACATTAATTCTGGGCTAGTTTTTTTCTTTTCTAAGTCTCCTTTCCCTCTTCACTCATAAGGAGAGAATTTGCTGAGTCAGAGTCAGCATTTGAAACCATGCAAAACCAAATCTCAAAAGATCAGCATAACTTTGAGAAGCAGAACATGCTAAATTCTTCACAAAGGACTTCTATCTCCAGACTTGTATGACTCTTAAGTTTTCTAATTATTCCAGTATGGTAAAACATTAAACACAAGTAAATGCCAGCTGGCATATCTAAATCATTGCTATTTCATTTTCTAGGAATGGCCAGCCAAAATTTCACTCCAGTGTACAGTCTTAGTCTCCTCTTACATATCCTTTCCCAGCTCCTGGGCCAGACAATATGGTGCATATTCAGCATTCTAAATGCAAGGACTGGCATCAGTACTTGAATGTGTCAAAAAAAGTTTATGGCTTTGAAAAGTCAGGACGGCATTTACAACAAATTCTTGTACTTCTTTCTAGATGGAGAGGAATGGTGAATTCTTAACTGAAGGGCTGGTTTCTGTTTGCTGTTCTATTGGTGTGTTGTCAGTCAAATGCTTTATCTAAAGCCAGGGATAATAAATCATGCAAGTGCTTTCTTTAAATTTGAACACGTGGTAGAAAGAACTTTTTAATGCCCAAAGTGGTGGAAACTTTTGAACATTTAGCCCTCTTTTTATGCCAGCTAATTTCATAATTTTGCCAACAGTCATAAAATAGGAACCATAATATCTGGAGGGCCATTGCATAAACTTGAAAATCAAGCTGATACAAAGCACTGAAAGAGAAAAGAAAAGCAGCAGCATATACAGCTTTTTTAATTTTAATTTTTATTTTTGGGTATTGGTATCCACATCATCATTTCTGTCATGAGCCTGGTGATCTGTCCACTTCTAAAGAACTGGCATGAAATTTTTGGATTCTCACTTCAATAATTGCTTTAGTAACCTACTTATGAGACATTCAGAAGGGATTTTTTTTTTCACTTGTCAGTAGGAGAACCTGAGGACCACCACTTCTGAGCCTCAGGAGAAATTTTTCTGTGTTAAAAAAAAGTTTAAGTAGCATAGGGATTCTTAAGTTCTTTTTATTTGAATTTGAGTTTCTTTCTAGTTATCATATTAGAGTCTCTGTAGAATTTTCTGAGTACTGAGTAGTATTCTTGTTTAGATTACACTCTTCATATTTTATTTCCAAGTGCTTTCATCATCATTTCTGTCACAATAGAAGAAACATACTACTCACATATCTCAGAAAGTTGGAGAACATTTTTGAATTCCTAATAGTCCATTACATTTAAGTCATATGGATAAGAAGAAACATTTTTGATTTAGCTTAAACTTTGAGGCTAAAGTTTTTCAAGATTGTTTTAGGATTTATTCATATAGCTCACAGCCAGCAGCATTACAGTGATGCCATTTTTCTGAGTCTGAGAATGGGGAACTAATTGTTTGAAACTCTTTCAGAAACAAAGCCCAATAAATTCACAGTATTTTATTTTCAAATATATGTGGATATATCTGACTGGGTAAACATTTGAACATTTATTTTAGACTGATGAAATGCTAAAAAAATCACAAAAATTCCAGATAAGGAACACTTTCAAAATCTCAAATTTCTTTCTCTGTATAGTTTTTAAGAATGTTTTTGAAAGCTCTATAGCTCATGTGCTGCACAGTTGCTCCAATTTTTCATGTCCTAAGTATTGAAGATTCAGAAGGAGACTGAAATTCAAAGAAAACGGATTGGTGAGGAATTGGAAAAAATGAGTTTTTATTTACTGTGCATTTAACCTGTGCCTGGCACGAGGTGGAATATTATGTTAATCCCTAAAGCTGTATTCAACATGTCTGCCGTCAACAAGAGCAATCAAGTAGGAAACAAGGTTTACATATGTGGAACAGTAAGGGAAATAGCACAAGACAGGGAATAACTAAGTGCTTAATTGAGGAGCCAGTATTGTCCACTCTCAATCAAAACATGGGTATTCCTTTATTGTCACATTGGTTCACTGTGTCTTCATTTGAACATGCATTATTTGCCTTTCAGCTGGGGTCTGCCATGGATTGGAATATACAGTTTAGATGCCTTCATCACTGTCGTCATCACTGCCATCACCACCACCACCATCATCATCCCCAGACACCTGGGTGTGTCAACTTTAGTACCTATCTTAGGCATTGTATAGAATGAGTTCAAATGGATGTAGTAAATCTTCACAGGAATTTCTAGGCTGAACTAGAAATATGGATTAGATAGACATAGTTGGAAAAGGGGACAACTATGGAAATATTAGTATCCTCGAATAATGCATTGCTCTATAGTACCAGTGGCAAGTGGAGTTTTTCTACTGAGAATGGTGACTGACTTGTCTCTAGGCTGAAGGGGATGTTTTCCTGGAGGTGGTATTTCAGAAGTTTGTTGAGGGAAGAGAAATACCTCTGTTCTTGTTGAAGATATTTTCCTGACAGCTATAACAGAGGAATGATGAGCATCCATGTTTTAGAGGTCAAATTGCTCTAGAAACCTATTTGTCTAGGAATATACTTTTATAGTTTTAGTAAATTAGGTTCCTGAACAACTGGTAAATTTATTATTTTAATTTCATAGATAATATTCAGTTGAAAATAAAGACATATATCATTTGTGCTTTTTCTGGCAGTAATTCCCAATAGCAGTGGATCATTCTTACCTAGGAAATTCTGATGCTCCCATTTAGGAGTTTAGTGTTCTCAACGTGTCATGCCTGGTTGAGAGTCACTGCTTTAATAAATCACTCTTTTTGCAAGGTGTGTGTAGTGATTCCTTAGGTATATTGTCTCAAATTCCAGTAGCAACTCACTATGTGCTATGTCCTTCACATACTTTTAAATTTCATATCAAATTCAGTAGGTATCAGTAGGACTCATTTTGTCCCAGCGTCTTAGATATCATATTTGCTCAATGTCCTGTGCATAGGATGGCTTATGTATGTAAAAGATGTAACATCAACACAATGTCTATTAATAGGAAAATATATTTTCATTCTTAATAAGAATAAAGAATGTGTAAGTTCCATATTATGATTTCTATCCAATTTTAATGCACTTTTGTCAATTTTATTGAAATATTTGCAGAATTGAAAACTTGGAACATAATGGGTTCCAAGACACATAGAGCAAATGATTAGAAGGGTCAGAAATTGAACCATATTTGTCTCTCACTACAAACCTGTGCTAATTTCATTTGAGCCACTAGAACTCAAATTCTCCATCAGTGATGATATTGTATGAGATGTTATTAACCTTGTTCCTCTAATCCTTAGAGTTTATTTTTTGTTTTGTATTGAAATAACAGCAGTTTGCTTTATCTCTTTGCTTTTTTGCTTTAAAGGAATAACCACAGTCCTCACTATGACCACACTAAGCATCAGTGCAAGGCATTCTTTGCCCAAAGTGTCCTACGCTACTGCCATGGATTGGTTCATAGCTGTCTGCTTTGCTTTTGTATTTTCGGCCCTTATTGAGTTTGCTGCTGTCAATTATTTCACCAATATTCAAATGCAAAAAGCCAAAAAGAAGACATCCAAACCTCTTGCAGAAATTCCACCTGCTCCAGTACCGAAAGAAAAGCATCCTGAAGTACCTCTGCAGGTATTTGGTTTAATCTCCTTTAGCCTAAGTTCTTAGCTTTTTTGATCAAATATGTGCCAGAACTTGAAATTTGAGTGACAATTTGTAAGTAACTTAAAAGTCCAGGAAAATATAAGAAAGTTGTTTATGAATTCAAAGTTTAAAACAGATTAATAGCTTAAAAATTAAACAGCTCTGAATGAGGCAGATATAATCAAAATTACTTTTTGTTTGAAAGTTCCTTTCAGAATGAAAGTTTCTCACAGAAAGAGGCAAAAGGTCATATGTACTGTTGTGAGTAACTTGTGGACATTGTTGATTGGTTTGCAAAGGCATTTTAGTGGACCTCATTGCACAAAGTAAAGCAATGGCTCATAATGTGACCCCAAGTGAGGACTATCTCCTGGGACTGGGAGGAACCTGTTCCCTGCTATTTAATAAGAAAACAAAGTCAACAAACAAGATACATAACTGTGGTTGATGTACATCCATAATTGAGACTTTTTAGCTCTACTGGGCTATATTTAATAGAATGTAGAAAGCCTAATAAGAACTACTATAATTTACATTTGACTAATCAGGATTCTGATTTAAGAAAAAATGATCATGTTTTTTTCCCACATGGTCTCTAACTGTATAAAAACAAGAAGCTCTTCATAAAAACAGGAAATATAATGGGCATTCTCTTTCTCTCTCTTTTTCCTTCTGTTCCTCACCCTTCTGCTCCACTACTCTGCTTTCTCTCTTCTTCTTTGTCTCCATTTACTTTTCTTGAATAAGCAGAAAAATGTCTGTAGTCACCCATGCGCAGCCTAATGTAGTTGCCACTAATGATCGTCTAAAAATCCTTTGATCTATATATACCCAAATCAAAGTGTGCAGAAATCATCAACTTTATTCTCTTCAAATGACAGCTCAGTCCTTTCTTCCTTCATTCACTTACCCACTCATTTGACAAATATATATTTAACACCAGCTGCCAATCAGACTCTGTTTGAGGGTCTAAGAATCATTAATGTATCAAAATATCCCAACATATATCCTCCAGAATGGAGTTTATGTTCATTTGTGTGAGGTGAGGGAGGGGAAGCAATTACAAAAAAAAAAAAAAGTAAAACAGGTAGTGATTTAGGTGTAGGTAGTGCTATGATAGATAGCATCACAGTACTACAGAGGCCAGGAAATAGGGGTGCAGAGTGAGAGGCCTGGGATTTGACTCTCAGAGGGGAGAGGACAGTAGAACAAGTGAGGTTAGGTGCCCTTTGTGGCAGGGATTAACTGGTCAGAGTCCTGAAGTTCATAGCTTTGCTCCTACAGGGCTCCTCATGCTGGGTCTCTAAGAATGGCATATGAGCAGGTAGAAAATTGAATGCTTTTCCACCAAGTTTACATAGCTGATCTTTTCTTCTAAGTGACTCTGTATCATCAAGATTTTCAAAATTATCAGAATGCATTTTGTATACTGTTTTTAGTCTTAAAATGCTGTTTTTCAGTTTTTATTTTCTTTGGTGGTTTTATTTTCTTTCCTATTCACCATGGGAAACTTATTGCCTCTCTGCCTTTTATTCTTATTTCATTGGTTTTGTTGTGTTGAAGCCCTGGCCAGAGAATCCTATTTATAGCTTCTTTAAAAGCATCATGCTTTTGATTTATTCATTTTATTGTTTCTGTTTACTTATTATCGATTCAAGATTTTATTTTAATTCCATTTTTCTTTGGGTTAATTATGCATTTTTAGCTTCTTGAGTTTGCTTCTTGATAATTTATTTTCACTGTTTCTTATGTAATAATAAAGTTACTTTTACTGCAGTGAGATTCCTTTGTCTACAACTGTGCAAATAATCAATAATTTTGATTATATAATATATTTGTTAACTATTCTAGAATTATGTTGTTGCTTTACTTTTTGAGCAATAACATTTAAATTTCTAAGTGAGTTTTTCTCATTTATTTAATTTTGTGTCATAGTGCATATGTTCAGAAATATTGCATATGAAGATTTAAATATTAAAATATCTTCATTGTGCCCTGAGTCATGCTAAAAATTTATAATGTTTAAATTTAAAGGAGTTAATTTTTAGTTGTCAAATCAGTTTTACTTAAAGCACTATTTTTTACTGTGTGTGTGTGTGTGTGTGTGTGTGTGTGTGTGTGTGTGTGTGTGTGTGTGGTGCTGGGCCTTGGTCATGCTAGACAGTCACTCTACCACTGAGTTACATCTCCAGTTTTGATCTTAACATTTTTATTCCATTATTTTTTTCATATTAACTTTTTATATTTATTATTATTACTATTATTATTATTATTATTTTTTATTATTGAACCCAGGGCCTTGTGCATGCCAGGCAAGCACTCTACCAAATGAGGTATATCCCCAGACCCCTATTTTTCACTTTTAATAAGTCACCTCTAGTCTTCAGTTTTTCAAATGCCGAGAAATATGTGAAAAATTTTCTTTTGAACTCTTGAATGTTTTGGGATTGCATTGACTTTTTTCCATTAGAACTGTTTTTGTTTTGCATATTTTAGTGCTATGACATCCAACATTTATAGATTCACAACTGCTGTTTCCCTATCAGTCCATGAGTACATCAAATACACTTTATATTTTTCTCTCATATAATACCTTTTCCCTCAAATACTATTTGGTCTGATTTTAATTTTAAAAATTTTCTTTCTATCTTTCCTTCTTTCTTCTTCTCCTTCTCCTCTTCCCCTTCCTCCCCCTCTTCTCCCTGCTTTGCTTTTTGTTGTGGTGGTGGTGCTATGCATTGAATCCAGGGCCTTGGTCATGCTAGACAGTCACTCTACCACTGAGTTACACCTCCACTTTGATTTTAACATTTTTTATTTCATTCTTTTTTCATATTAACTTTTTATATTTTTTATTATTATTATTATTACTATTATTATTTTGTTAAATTTTCCTTATTCTTTTTCCCCCTCATGTATTCTGGAAGCTCTGTATCCTATTTTCATATGATTAGTTGTTAAACTTAAGTTTTAGAACAATATATTTCAACTTGTGAATTTCTTATAATGTTAAGTTATAAAATATACTGACTGTACCTTGTCACTATTAACTCCTTCAGTTTCAAGATTGCTCTAGTTCTAAAGATTCTAGATTTGGAAATGTGTTTTTTATATGTAAATGTATAAACATCTGTGTTTATAATGAATTGATGTAGTTCCCTCTTTGTTTTTTCAAACTCTGATGAGACTTATTACACTGGTGCTATGATGAAATATTACAGATATTTCTCAAATAAGTAAATAGTAGTACACATTGGAACACATATTTGAATAAGCAATATGATGAAATATCACAAATATTTCTCAAATATCCCTTGTAATCAAAATAAAACTATTTTGCAGAATTTCCAAAGGTGTGTAAAGAAACAAATAACCTTCCATTTGCTCCCTGAAGCATATCCTTTGACTACAGCAGTTGCTATAACTAGTAAATGTTTGATTGAACTCATCTGACTGGCTAAGTTCATTATGATTCATTAGTTCCTTTCTGTAGCATGGTGTATATTCTGTGTGCACATGGCATATCCAAGGTCAAGAAGATGAGATGTGTTTGTGAAGGGCATAAAGTCATAACATTTATGAATTGGGAAGGACTTTAAAACTAGTCAGAATACTAATCACATGCTTCACGTCCTCTACATTGTGTGACTGTGTATGTGTTACGGCAATTCACTTGATGAATATCTGTGTTCTAATAACAGTGATTAATGGGTTGCCCCCTCCCCAACTTCCTGAATCCAGCTCCTTTACAGAGAACAGCTGGCTTTAGAGTGTTAATTGCCATTGAATGGCTTTAGTATCAAGTTCAAATTTGAAGGTTGAGAACACATTAAACATCAGGGGGAGACTATGGGAGAGATAGTAAATAGGGAAAAAGAAATCAAGAAGGGAAATTTAATAAGAGCAAAATTTACAACATATTATGGAAAGGAAATATAAGAATCTGCCAAGGTTGAAGTTTCAGTAGAGACTAATCAGACTGTTAAAATTTGCTTGTTCAAATATGTGTTCCAATGTGTACTACTGTTTACTTATTTGAATGATACTGACTTTGCTTAAAATGTGTTTGAGCCCCTCATTTGGAATTGACTTCAGAGTTTAATGATATTTAGTAATTCAATAGTCCTTTGGGAAGCTCAGTAGTGGTTTGATTCATTGTCACCATATGTGACCTATGGACTGTTAATGACCTAGCAGAGGCTTATGGTGACCATTTCTATTCTCTGGGAATTGGAAGCTTATGGTTTATGGAATATTCATGAAATAGGAGAAGAGGCCAACTGGCAGGATGAAAGAGAATCTATCAGTAGTTTGAGTATGTTCTTGGATATCTCAGGAGGCAGAGCAGATGTTTTGTTTCTGCTCATTATTATCTTAGTTATGCCTTTGAATATATCTCTAATACTTGAGTTGAACTCCATTCTTGTGGCTTTATTCTTCCAAACCCTTACTACTTCTTAAAATTACCTTCTCTTCCACTGATGGAGGTGATTTGGATGAACAGAATGGTTTGAAAAATAAGTAACCATAGAGCTGTAAAAGGAAGCTATCTTAATAAAAGCACATTTTAAAAAATAACTTGAAAATATATTCTTTATCCCTTTTTGGCCACAAAGTGTGCAAAAAATCCAGTGATAACATTAATTGAACTCTTGTTTTGTGTTAGGTACTATGTGGTATGCTTACCCTGTGTTACTTAATTGCTAGCTCACAATGTCCTTTACAGATGAAGAAACTGAGGTCTATAGTTTAAATATACTCATGATAAAACAGCTAGAAAATGATAAACCTAAAATTACAATTAATTCAGCTTTGATTGCAGAGCTTGTTTTACCAAACTCTATATCATTTAATTTATGATCTCTCTATAAAGAATAGATATAAGAATGCAGGTGTGTATATATATAGATCTATATGTGTACATATGGTACATATATGTATAGAAATAGATAATGATCAGCCTAATACCGGGTCTTTTGTTCATATTC